TTTAGAGAATTTTTTCTAAATCAGACTACACATTGAAAGGTGGAATGTAAACTAAAGTTACCTCAAACACCAATTGTGATGACTTACCTCGGCTGCTGCGAGCCGAACCAGAAGCCTGTGCGTCTTAGACTTGAGAAAGTACTAAAAGCCCTTATAAACAAATAAATGCAAATCAGCGTTCACGTGGTTTTCCAACCCATACGCTCCGGAAAGCAAACTATAAAAATTCATCTTTAAACGGGGTCCGCTCCCGTTGTCCTGTTCACCACATCCCCAGCCGAAAAGAACACCTGTTTTAACGAGGTACCTTCTCTTTCATCGTTATTTTCTTCCTGGCATGCACTTGTACGTTTGCTGCGAAATAGGCTCGTCCTTCGGACAAAAGCGTCGCTGTCGCGGCCAACGATATCATCACGCGTATCCTTTTCGTTTCCGTAGTTTTCGATATCATCACACATATTTTTCTCGTTTCCGTAGTTTGCGATATCGTTGCCGTCACTAAACATCTGACTAAAGCACGAAGAGAAAACCAAGACAGTCGTCAGTGAATTTCGACGTGTCAACAGGTCGACGATGCGTCGACGAAATCTCGCACTTTGCTGTTGCACGGTTCTATTCATCGCTTCCTCCTCCGAGCCGCTGAAAAGTTCCACGACGAACGACAACGAACGGAATAATTCCACAGTGCGATATCAGATTCATACTAATGTTACCACGATAAATCGTAGCGGCAATGCGGAAACTTTGCATTATAACGCTCGTGGAAATTCCACCAGGAGTAACGACGACGTGCAGTACAAGCTCCGTCTTAACTCCACGAGTATACACGAGGATGATGACTCGGTGGGGTATGAATTTCACGCGCATTCCACGAAGGATCGCGGGGGCGGCGATCAAACGTCGATGGAGCTTCGTACGAATTCTACAGATGACAAGATCAACTCCACAGCACATGAACCCCGTGGAAACCTGATGCAAGACGTGATCGAAGACAGAAGCAACTTAACGTACGAGCTTTTCGGAAAGTTCTATAAAGATGATAATAAGACCAACGTCGTTCCGTACGAGATGTGCGAGAACAGTACCTGCATTCCGCTCTGCTGCCCCCTCGGCGTTCGCATGATCAAGGACCAATGCGATGCTGAGAACGTTGAGCGTTATCCCTTTCCGGGTGTGTACGAGCAGGCAACGAACGAGTCGCTTGAGAAAGGACCGATCGGCGAGGTGGACCAAATCTTTCAGTTGACCGTCCACGATCCGTGCCAAGAAGTCGGATACTATTTGCTTGAGCCTGACGAGAAACCAGATGACGCGTTTATGTTCCTCCTCAATGGCTCTTTGTATCTACCGCGTATCAAAGACTTTGTCGATGCCGGTTTGTACTGTCTCATCGTCTTGCAACGGGATAAGTACGAGATAGCTGTTTGCATTAATTTCCTGGAACCGGACCACGCGGAAGTACTCGTATATTATTATTATGTGGGTCTGATAATATCCTTGCTGTTTTTACTGGTGACATTCGTGTTGTATTCCATACTGCCGGAGCTTCAGAACATGCACGGCTACACGCTGCGTGGATACGTCGGCTCGTTGATCGTCGCATACACGTTCCTCGCGATACCTCAGCTAACCGCACAGACACCAATACCGGAAACCGCCTCCTGCAAAATAATGGGTACAGC